AAAAAAAAAAAAAAAAAAAAAAAACTTAAATAATAGCACTGGCCAAATACTAGCAGACTAAGCCCAGCAGTGTACTGAACAAACACACACTGTGCTATAAGCAAGAAGGATGCCCAGCAAATAGGGCTTAACATCAGAATTATGCTAGTAAAACACACCACATTAGATTAAAGGACAAAAATCAGATGGAGAAAAAGCATTCAGTAAGATTTAACATTAAATTATGACTGAAACAAAAGTAGATCAGGGAGGGACATCATTAGCCTGATACAGTCTTTTTTTTTGTTAATAAGAGACAAAGTTGTGCTATGTTGTCTATGCCTGCCCCAAACTCATGGGCTCAAGGGATCCTCCTGCCTCAGCCTCCTAAGAAGCTGGGACTACAGTTGTACACTACCATGCCTGCTGGATATGAACTCTTTATGACAACCCCACAGTGAATATAATATTTCTTGGTGAAATTATGGAAACCTTCCCAGTAGAATTACAAGCACAGCATGAACATCTTTTACTAGGGTCATCACCATGTGGAAATCTAAGACAAGATTTCAAGACGAAAAAAATAAAGAAGGTTTTGTTTTTGTTTTTTGACACAAGGTCTTACTAAGTAGCCCAGGCTGGCCTCAAATTCATAATCCTCTTACCTCAGCCTCCTTACAGCTGGGATCACAAGCTTGTGCCACTATGCCTGCCTATAAATAGGGTTCATAAGACTTGGAAATAAAGAGAAAAATCACCCCCCCAGCTTTTTTGAGACAGGGTCGTGGTATATAGTTCACGCTGGTCTTGAACTCATTATATAGCCCAGGCTGGCCTCAAACTCATGCAATCCTCCTGCTTCAGCCTCTCAAATGTAGTGATTATAGGTGTGTACCACAACACCTGGCTCTTAGATAAACTATTATAATTCCTTTTGTGTGTGTGTGCTTTTTAGACAAGGTTTCATTATGCAGTTTAGGCTGGCTTTGATCTCACTTTGTAGCCCAGGCTGGCCTTGAACTCACAGAGATCCTCCTGTTTCAGCCTCTTGAGTGCTGAGATTACAGGCATGTGCCACCATGCCTGGCTGAGCTATTATGATTATTAACATACAGATATCAGTAGCATTTCTATATATAGTGGTACCTCAGTTTGTGTTTGTTACCCAATGCACAGTTTGCAAACAAAAACAAAATTTTGCCAAACACTTCTGTTCGTGAACCAAATTGTTTGCAAACAAAGCATTTGTGAACCAAAGTACTGCTGTACTTGTAATATCCAGTTATATGATATCTTGGGGGACAGAGACTATAGTCACAATAAATACAGAAATTATAAATTAGACAATGATCCAACAAAAAATTAGCCCAGCATGGGACACAGGAAGCTGAGGCAGGAGTATTCCAAGTTCAAGCTCAGCCTGGGTTACATATCATGACTGTATCTCAAACAAACAAATAAACATAACAAAACAACAACGAAGATCTACCAAAAAAGTACAAGTCTTCAAGGAAAAATTATAAGAGACCACTGAGGGGTGACTTCCAGGAAGACGGCGAAGCAGTAAACAGCAACAAGTCAAGCTCTCCAAGATTCAGAATCCAGACACTGGGAAATAACAATGTGGGGATAAAGATGAGGGAGGTGGATCCCTGGCACCCAGGAGGGATCTTAAGGTAAAACTAGAACCCACAGAGAAAGTGAAGAGACAGACTTCAACACAGAAAATGGAGGGGGCAATCTGCACTTTCTCCCCATCTCCTAGCTCGCGGTGTGAGAGAGATGACCCATTCTACAGAGACAGTGTTGTAGTCTGGGGTTCTGCGAGGGCAATAATATAATACAGGACACGTATTTTATAACATTATTTATGATAGTCACCCAAAGGACTCATATACAAAAACAGAGTTCAAGAAACCTGTCCACACAGTAAAGATCAAAGAATCCAGCCTGGATCCTGCGATAATGTCCTGCATGAACCCACCTGAAGACCTATAGAGCCCCTAACAATGCCTCCCAGGAGTCCAACTGGAGACCCAGAGCCCATGACAATGTCTCATGCAGGCCTGTTTCATGGATCTGCACTGGGAAGACCCAAAGGTCAGTGGTAGAAGCTAGAAAGTCTGTGCCATTGGGATGAAAGATCTGTGTTAGCAGGCTGAGGGATCTGCACTGGAGCTAGGATGCAATGCTCTAAGTAAGAACCAGAGCTCCCCT